TGAATGATCTTTCAGTTAGGGAATCCACGGTGGGTGTGGTTTTAGAAATAAGAACCTCTGAGGGGAGTGTGGTCCATAAAGTACAAGCGTCCCAAGACTCCTGCAAGAGGTCCGCATGCTCACAACTGTTCTCAGAAGAATGCTAAGCTGTTATTCACCTTTTTCTATGCTGACACGGGCCGAGGAGCAAAGCAGTGGAGGGGAAACTGGACGCTCAGCACAGATCAAATGATATTTTATTTATTGTTATTAGTTACTTTTCTCGTTGCTGAGACAAAATACCTGACACCCAAAGTTAAAGGAGGAAAGGCTATTTGGCTCACAGTTTGCAGAGGTTTTGGTCCATAATCAGCTGGCTCCAAGGCAGGGTGGCGTGGCAGAGGGGCGTGGCAGAGGAGAAACAGTCCATGGCAGGCAGAAGGCAGCAAAGCAGCAAGCAACAAGTGACAAGCAGCGACCCTCTTTCTGTCCCTGATATCCACCCTGTCCCAATTATCCACCCTTAGGGCTGGTGGCACTCACACCCAGAGTACAGCACCCTTCCTCTTAGCACTGCACTCTGAATCAACCCTAAGATCACATCCTCGGTCCCAGCACCAAACACTTAGATACAGCCATCCCTGAAAGGCCCCAGTATGACTGCGTGAGGCTTTGGGCAAGGGGCTTGATACAAGCCATAGCATTTCTATTCTTTGATTTATACTCTTTATATTTATATCCTGCACTGTCATTTTCACTCAAAAATGTTCCTAGTGAAAGAATAAAAATGACTAATTCTGTTAAATCTCACTAGCTGGGTGTAATGTTTCTAATATTCTCAGTGAAGAAGGGAGATGAGTGGATGAAGTGCTTCACTCACACAGATCAGGAAAATGGATCTGTCCAATTATTTCAATTGAACTAAAGTAGCTGTTGCTTGCAGGCAGCACCATTTTGGCTTCAAAGAACAACTGACAGAGCCAGTATGGCTGTGGGGCTGGTGTGTTTGGCAGACACGCTCTCTAACATGAACGAAGTCAGCCTGTCACCTCAGGTAAGCAGGGCTCAGTCTGTGCTATCAGTGACAAAATGTGAGCTTTCAAGGAAAAATGAGAATTTTGCATTCAGCACTGTGAGTCTGAAAGGATCAGATATATAAAGAATTCTGAGACTGCAGCTCACCTTAATGCATAGGGCTTGTGTATTGTATAATGCAGCGTGGCAGCATCTGGATGGTCTTCAAACCTCAGTGCAGTGGCATTTCCAAACACCTACGCTAAATATTTATTACAGAATCATAACTAGGTAAAAGATCTATTCAAATCATTCTAGACCAATGATTTTAATGTAAGAGGGAACAAAAAGTTCAATAGTATTTTTCCAGATTCCACATTGCAGCTCATTTTTAAGAGCTTCTTGAGTTTCAGTGTAGTATCAAAGTACTCCTCAAATTATAGGCTAGTAAAATATCTCTCCCTTTCCCAACTCCTGTCTGTGTAAGGCTGGACAGGAAGTTTGTGCACTTCAATCAAAACAGTGGCAGAGCCCATGTGGCAGGTAGTGGAGACTCCAAGGAGGTCCCTGGAGTCCTGAAGGGGCTGTGGGAGCCTGACCTTCTCCTCTCTTTTCCTGGCCATGGGATGAGGCATTGTGCCAGCCACACACACAGTTAAGGTTTGAATAAATATTGGTTCTCACAAATATATACATAGTAAAATTTTAATAAATGTTGGTTCTTGTTGTTTTTCTAAAAATTCCAATTTTATGGAGAATGTACTTTCCAAGTATAATAATTTAAAAATCATTTTACTGTCAATTTTTTTAGAAACCTCACTTTATGTCCCTTACAAGCATGTCTTTTATAGCCTGCTGCCTCCTATGGAAACTAATAGTGTGTATGCTGCAGAGCTAAACCTAAATATTTCATGACTCAATCTGAAGCTCTGTAAAATGCACTTGATTCATGCATGACAAAGTCAGGTAGTGAGCCCAGAGTGGTGGCTCAGTAGTCACAGCAGCTCCCAGAGGCTGCAGAAAGAGTCCTGGGAACCTGCGGCCAGCCTAACAAGATACCATCTCACAATCAACATTATAAAGTCAATAAATGCATTTAAAAGGGGAAGGGGCCCCTGGGATGTAGCTTAGCCCTCCCTGGATTCAATCACCAGTACCACAAAAACGTGAAAATAATTTCCTTAAAAGGCACATATCACTCCAAGGAATTAGGTAATATACTTTACCTAAACATTTTTACATAGGCCTCCGACACTGATTAATCATTATGATGAAAGATGCAGTCACTGCCCTTGGTTAGAAAATGGTATTAGCACTGTATGGACCCTGATGTTACAATTAGAACACAGCCTTTGATTGAGAAATAAATTTCATTTTTAGTCAAATTATGGCTTTTAATATAAATTGACTCTTCCAGATTTTTTATGCCGAAAACACTAGCAATAGGATAAGGGCAGGAACAATGACTTATTTCAACAACCTGAGGGCTGGTCGTGCTGGTGTGCACCTGTCATCCCAGCCACTTGGGAGGTGGAAGTGGGAGCATCATGAGCTCAGGGCTTTCCAGGGCAACACAGGGAGACCCATCTCAAAACCAGAAGAAAATCAAGAATCTGAGCGATCACACTATGAAACAGAAATGCCCTGTGCTCTTTCCACAGATCCAGAGGGAAAATCACCAAGTGGGACAGAAGGAGAAGGGAGGACGGAGGGAAGGAGGAGAGGGACAGAAAGTCAGTTTTTCTGCTCCAGCTCAGAGAGTCAGCAGCTTCTCTTCAGGAACAGAGATTTACTGTCAGCACTGAAGATGAGTGGTCGGGGCTGGGGAGGCGAGTGGGGAACCCGGCCGATTGCAGCTGAGGAGCACCAGGCAAGACACCAGAGCTTCTGAGAATTTTAAAGAAGGGCTCTGGCCAATCCCGCATTTCCCAAGCAACAGGAGCAATTTCCACACATTTCTCTGCATTGTGGCTGCGTCTGCGACTCAAGGCTGAAGCCACATGCGCGCTCCCCTCCCGGACCACACCATGCCTGGATCCAACAAGCACGTCCGGCCATCTTTCATCTTCCTCCACATCTCTGGGTTTCCAAGCCCCTGACCGCCTGGCTTGGCCCGGTCTATGAAAACTTTCTAACCCCTAAACTAGACAAGCAACAGGACAGGAACTCAACCAGACTCAGCCAAGTAGAGCAGCTGAGATTTGCAGCTAAGAACACCTGTAAACATGCATGTCCCTTCTCTTCTGCACATTCACCACCTCAGATATCACGCAAATTCAGCTTCCACCTACCCGACGCTGTACCACTTTGTGGATATTTTCCCCAGGGTTTGCTAAGGCAGATGTCACCCGAGTGGCCAACACCACAAGCACAGAGCCCCCTCCGTGTGCGTGACCACCTTGCACTAAGCTTTGGGGTGTTCCTCTCCGAGCCCTGATACCCAAACAACTGCTTACTGTTTTGAAAACAGTATAGAAACAACAAATAGAAAAGCCTGCAGATCTTCCTAGAAATCTGGCTTAGAATTCAATGTGGAGATACATTTGAAAACTGCACACTGGGCACAACAGGCTCACTTATTTTACATTTGAACATCATGTGCCAGCTGCGAGAACATCTGAAATCCTGCAAACTCGGGCAAATCCAGCTGCACTTCCTCCTCCCACCGTGCTCCCCAATACAAGAGGGCCATGTGCATTTTGATTTGTATACTCCTTCTCTACATATAGGGCAGCATCATGTGCTTTCAGACATGGAGTTTATTTAAACTTAGTACTTCTCTCTCTGATCAGAAAATAAAAAGCTTCTCAATTAGCAAAATGATACAGGTATAAAATTAATTTTGAATACAGCTGATTCACCTCTCTATGATTTACTGGACCAAGGGAAAACCAGCTCCCACCAGCTTCCGAGAGTAGTCTACAGTAAAAAAATGTCTACACTCAGATTATTCTATTGACCTACAAGAAAAAAACACAATAATTAACAGACTTCGTCAGCTGAGCATCTTTTCTTCAGCCGAATGCACCTACGAACACAGCCAACTGCACCACACCTTTACAGGTGGCTGGTGACGTCTTGAAAGCGGAAGATTGAGATTAGTTTAGGTGATGAGAATGTGCTCAAATTATTTTTGGTTTTTTGTTTTTGAGACAGGAGGGTCTCTCTATGTAGTTCAGGCTGGGCTCGAACTCAGTCATCCTCCTGCCTCAGCCTCCCAAGTGCTGGGGTGACAGGCATGTGCCATGGCTCCCGCTCTTATATCATCTGTTCTGGGTGAAACTGCCCACTGCTGAGGGTCTGAGAGCAGACGTTAGAAAGCAGTGAAGGGCTCGGCACAGCACGGAGCCCTGGAACATGTGGCCCACGCTCCTGTGGACCATCTCACAGCCCTGTGGTACATGGTGTAGCATCCATATGAGTTCGTTTCCATTCCCAGGGGCGGCCCCAGGCATGGCTATGGGAAGCATGTGCTCCACTGAGCTGCATTCCCAGCCCTTGAACGAACATGTGCAAGGGCACAATTTCACACAGCCAGAGGCGTTAGCCTGGGTTCTGAGTAATGGGAATCGGGCTCGGTTGTGGAGTCTCCTGACACCTGACAACTGTAAAGAATGGCTGGTGGAGGGCCGGGGATTCCGCTCAGTGGTTCCAGTGCCTGCCTCATAAGTGCAAGGTCCCAAGTTCAATCCCCGGTACCAAAAAAAAAAAAGAATGGCTGGTATGTTTTCCATGAAATACATATCGTGAGACCTATGACTGGTACACATAAATCAGCACAGGTGTATCTGAGTTCTACTGTTTGTACATCTGTAATAGAGGAAAATGACTTCCCAACTGGGACACCTTATGCTTAGCAAAAAAATAAATAAGTAATAAATTAAAGTCAACTGCAACTATTTTCCACATCAAGAAAGGAAATCAAAACAAATCTATAAAATGCAAGAGCAATTTTCACTTGTTCTAAAGGACCCAATCTACTTTAAACTTGGAAGTTTTGAAGTTACCTTGGTCACAGCTTCTGCAGAAAATGTAAGTGCATCCAGCACGGTGATGAGGTCTCCCGGGTGCAGGCGATCAAAGTACTTCACGCAGGCATCAAAGGCACGAAGCCACTCTGGGGGGGACGCAGGGACCTGCTTGAGCCGGTGAGGGTCCCCTGTCCAGAACAGCTTCTGCAGCCAGAGAGTGTACAGTGAGCTCGCGGACAGCATCCCTCTGTCCTTCTTGGGGATTCTGGGAGCGAGTTTGGAAATAGGTAAGATATTCTGACTTGAAAGCACCGGCTCCAAGGCTTCAAGAGGATTCGTGCTTCCGTCTGTCAGCTTTTTATAATTAAGACCTAGTAGGAAGAAAGGGAAGAAAGCACAGGTGGCTCGTTCCAATGTGCACTCTCAGGCACTTTCCAACACACACGGCCCTCCATACGGCCGAGTGAAAACACCCGCCAACTCCTCCTGCACAGTGTGGGCTTCACACAGAAGGGCAGAAGACCGGAGTCCGTCCTCATCCCTGAGTGGCCTGCCTCAGCTGGGCGGGCCTGGGCAGGTCAGGCATGTCTGTGCCTCGGTCCCCTCACCCGCACCCTCGGGAAGGCAGCAGCCCCTGGCCTCCTTACCCCCACAGCTCTTAGCGCATCCACCAGACTGCATTACACGCACTGCTACTCGCCTGGCATTTCTCCCACTGTTGGGAGGCAGGGAGTGAGTCTCACTCCGGTGACTCAGTAAACGACTGACGGACTGAAGTGAGCTCTCATAAATGCTGTGACTGCAGAAGGCAGACTGGAAGGTGCCACGCAGGTATAAAGCATCCCAGAGATGCGAGAGGTACTGATGTACTCGAGTTCTTAGTTATGAGAGTAAGGCTACCATTCTAAAGACTACTACAACTTACTGAAGGGGAGAGTCTCTTAAGTACTGTATAGATATTTTAAATAGATAGGCTCCACTGAAGTGAAATTCTGCCAAATGGCCTCATGCTAAAGGTCTCAGACTTGTCTCAAATATATGTATATGTGTGCATGTGTGTGTGTGTGTAATAAGGTGAGTGTTTAAACAATTTATTACAGCAAAAGACACACTGCCACTAATCCCCTCAAAATACATAGTATACTACCCCTCGCTGAGACACACTTATCCCATCTTTCTTGACAATGTGTCTTTTACTGTAATAAGTCTTGAAATGTAAACATTCACTGTATTTTTAGATCATACCTCGGATGTAGGATATGAGAGATGGGAGTAGGAAAAAACTTATGGAACAGGTAGATTTCCATAGCAAATCTCCGGAAGTCACTGTATGACTCTCAACAAGCATCTTAATTTGCTGGGCATTTAATCCCCTCAGCCATAAATGAAGGGGTTGGAAGGATGAAACTCAAGTTGATCACCTCCATGACCTCCTGGTTTCAGTTCTGTTTGGCCCACAGGGTCCGGGCCTGACTGCACAGGAGAATAAGCCCTAGATGGAGCAGAAAGGGGAGTGTTCAGCCAGGGACACGAGCACCTACCTGCTGCAATGACTTTAAACTTCTTCAGCAGCTGTATGTGGGTCTTGGGTTTCATGACCGGGTCCCCAAAGTCTGCACAGCCACAGCTGTCCAGGAGAGTAAAATAACACAGCAGCCTCTCATGGTCAAGACCACTGATGGAGGGGTAGATGTACTTGGCCATGTGCCTGTGAAAGGCTTCCGGATCTGTCTTCAAGGTCTCAAAGAGTTGGGCCTGGGCCCGCGTCTCAATTTCTGCAGTGGACAAACTGAAAAGAAGACCCAGAGAGCCTGTGTGAGGGTTGGGGCCTCAGTGACATGACCTGTTTGCTTTGTTCACCCAGGAAGAATGGTTACTTCTTACGGTCCTTCTTCGTGCCTAATGAAAGACACAGAACTGCCAGGACACAGGAAGCTTACAGAAGGGTACACCCGGTGCCCACTGCAAATGTGGCCTGGCTGGGTCTGCAGAAGCCTGGCTTCCTGCAGCTAGGGCGCTGTCCAAGGTGCCCAACCAGGAAGCGAGCCCAGGCTGCAGGCTCCCACTCCGAGTCGCTTCCTCACATCAGGAGAAAAGGGCAAACTCGCCTCTGTACAGAAGTGCTGTGCACAAGCCTTGTTATTCCTGGAACTCAGGAGACAGGGAGTGGGAGAAAAAGCCCACACTTTTGGGCATAAGTTTAACATCTGAGAGTCTTGAATTGATATTCAATAGACTCTAATTTTATACTGTGTTCAAATAAAACAGGAAAGAGGAAGTAATTGTACTTTTACTTCAGTGATCTGTATTAATGCCACATGACTCAAAGATGTACCTTGTATTTTCATGTAACTTAATGCCTCTGTAATGTAATAAAAAACAGAGGCATTTAAGATTAATCTAACTGAGGCAAAAAGAAATGAAGGTATTTTTGTATGGTTGATTAGTCCATCTGGGTTTTGTGGAGGGAGGGAAGGAGCAGATTTTTGGCTCTGTGTTTCTCCCCTGCAGGCCACCGTCCACACCACTGGACGCACCCACTTCCAGGCAAGCCACAGGGAGCATGCTGGCAACAAAGACCTGCTTCCTAGGGTTTAAAAGCAGCGCCTGTGAACCAGAGCAGATACCTTGTCTCTAGGGATTACTATTTTTATAAAATGCCAAAAGGCATGTTTTTGTAAACTAAATATAAATTGTTTTAAAATTTTTATGAGAGTAATAATACTTAGTATAAAAGGGACAACTACAGAGTCAAAATATCAGGTCGTTGTTAAAAACGGTCTTTTTACTTTCACTTTAACAGAAATATTTCTTTTCCGGTAAGACACAGCTCAAACGCTTACTTATAGACATATGTCCCTGGTCTGCTAAAATTTCGACTGCCCCTGTCTGAACCACCGGCACCTGGCGCTCATGTCATATTTTCAGTACTGATTACCTGTCTGCCATCTCCCTAGACCAGGGCCGCTTGATGGCACAGAACATATTACATCCTCTGTATCTCTAGTTTCTCCACACCAAGACCCAGGGAACAACACGAAGGAAGCGCTCAATCCATGTCTTATGAATACCGCAGAGATGGGCAGATAAGCAAAGAACCAGGTGTCCTCGAAACTCAAGGTGCCCTGCTCTGGCAAGGACAAAAAGATTTAGAGCAGAGGACTTACATCTAGGTTTGAAAAATCCAGTTGAGTTATAAATACTGGGAGTTCAATAGCAATGGCACGGGCTGACAAAGGACACAAAACTGTATTCCAGTTAAGAGTGGGATTGACAAAAGCTATAGCTTCAGAGGAGGTGGCAATCGGTGACAACAGAAGGTTTAATGAAAGAAGAACTTGAGTTTGCCATTGCAGGGAGAAATGGAACAGAAGTAACATGAATGAAAGTACCAAGATAAGAAAGCACCAGCCCGTGAGAAGACTGAGCATGAATGCTAAGAAAACCCCCTGGGTACTGCCACTGCTCCCAGTATCAAAGTCATTTCCAAAGGTCCAGTGCACACAGTGTCCTGACTTTCTGCAAAATGAGGCAGAAAGCGATGCGGGGGGAGGTAAAGAATAAGCTGTATCACCCTGCTAAGATGACTCTTATTGACAAAGAAGAGAAGGGATGAAGGAGAACACACTTGCACTTATCAGGTGGTGAGGACACCCGGAACTTAAAGCTGGGGAGTTACCAGCTTGCAGGCAGAAGCTGCCATGCAGATGGGTTAAGGGCCCTGCCTACATCCAAGCCCCAATGTCTGCCTGGACTTGACAGCACGTCTGTGCACCACGGCCCACAGGAACCATGGATTCCTGGAGGTAAAGCAACCCTGCCACCCCCTTCTAAGACAGGATTCTTTCTGTAACCCGGTTATCAGCTCTCCCCTAACGGCAATAATCCACGAGACCGCTCCTGTCATACTTCATTCCCAACACCCTGATAAACACCGTACTCAAGACAGGCTCATCCACAAATCATAACAGTTTATTTAGTTTATCTGTGTTTGACTTGATTCTAAATCCATTCTCTCTCCATCAACGTTACTTTGTCCTCTGCCTACCCACTCATTCTTCTGCGCCTTCCATTCAGGTTGCCTCGTGTGCAGTTCTACCTAATTATCTTGTCAGGACTGCAGTACCTTGGCCGACACATGATAAATACCCCAACCTCCCTCTTCAGTAAATTACAATGCGCTCGGATCTTTTATAGATGCCAGTGATCAATAACCCATTTTAATAGTTTCCACAAAAGAGTTGTTATCTTCCCTTCAGTACAAGCAGTGAGAGGAGAGAACAGGAAGGAAAACCTTAAAACTGATGTGGGATTTTCACTAATCAAATTAATGATTACCCTTAAAAACAGTTTAAGTGCTTTTTTCTCCCGAACCCAGTTTTAGCTGTAACGCAGCTTGTAAGTATGGTGCATATTTGGCTTTCAGAGATGAACTACAGGGAGAAGCGGGCATTAGCTATACTCGATGTACAAGAAATAAATTATTGTGCTAATCCTGATGAAGGTGTTCTGGGACAGCTTCAAGTTGCCACTCACCCCAAACGGCGATTCAAGAGCAGCATGCATCCAAAGGTCTTATATTTGAAAAAAAATAAATTTATTTAAATACAGTTTTCTTCACTAAGCCTGAGTAGTAGTACAATTGCATTAGCTGAGGGAAAGCGATACTCAGCAGGGGAGAGAGGTGGGGCGGGACGCAAGAAGAGAAGGGAGGGAGAGGCTGGAGGGAGAGAGAAAAGGGGACAGGGCACAAATAAATCCCAAGGAAGCCGCCAGTACTCCGGCCAATTCCACCGCCTCACAGTGTTTCTCATAAGCCCCTGCAGGAGGTCTTGTTATTTTTATTCTCTGAAGGAAGCCGAAGTGCAGACAAAAATCCCTAACTAGGAAGAGGTGGAGACAGTCAAGTGGGGTCTTTCAGGTTCCACTTTCGGCCTCTGTTCCCTGGAGCTGTGAAGCTGAGCTTCTGTCTGCGGTCTGGGCACGGTGCAGGGGAAGGGAGGCTGCGGGACGCACAAGTCTCTTCTAGCAACTGCTCCTCTGCAAGGGTGGAGGGGATCCTGGCCCAGGGTGAGGCTCACGCCATGCCCACGGCAACCTGTGCCCACTCAGGGAAAACCTGGGCAGGCGGGACTTGATGAACGTGCCAGGTCACCCGGACGGGTGGGGCAGTCAGACACCGGGGGAGTTCCTTCCAGAAGGCTTCTGGATGCCAACGGGTGCTGACCTTGAAGGCCACACGATAGGGTGCACCTCCTCTGTAAGGGCAATCCCGTCCCCTTAGGCCTTTCAATTTCCCACACACCATCAGCTCGGACCGGTTCACAAGGCCCATCACATGTCTAACATGAAATAGTTTAAGGAACACCAGAGCACAAGACTAGGAATAAGCATCACTTTTGAGGACTTATTATCATCCTTTCAGTTCTCACACAGCAATAATTGATATCTATACTGATCTGAAAAATAACTGTTCAAAAGTCAGGTGTGTAACAGTGCTCAAAAGATGCGTTTCCAGATCTGGCCTGTTTCCAGAATTAGTAATAGTTTTCTTCTTGTTGCTGTTTTTTGAGCACCCACTGCATGTAGTTACTTTGTATAATCTCTTTAACCTCAGAGCAGTTCTGGAAACTGGATAGAAATAGTCCTTTTACAGAGGTGAAGACCAAGTTGGGTAAGCAGCTTGTCCACACAGGAGGGGCACAGGCTCGCAGGACTGGAGCCCGAGTGCTTCCCCCAGTGCTCAAGGCCAAGGTGCAGCTTCCTGCCAGGTGTGGGCCAATCGCAGGGGCTTCTGGGTATCAGTGAAAAATGGTGCTGAGGATCATGACGTGGAAGTCAGAGTTGTGGGCATGAGGAAGGAGCTGCATCCACTTTGGCAATGGTAGCAATTGTTAGCATTTCTGTTTTTTCTTTTTTAGAATTGGTAGATTTCTTTTTTTGTTGGTTTTTTGTTTTGGGTTTTTTTTTTTTTTTGGTACCGGGGCTCAAACTTAGGACCTTATGCTTGGGAGTCAGGTGCAGTGCCACTGAGCTAAATCCTCAGCCCTGGTAGATTTCTTTTTACGAACAATGAAAATCAAACAGTCCTGGTCAAGTTCTTTTTTTTACCTAGATCAAAAGGAGTGGGGGAGGGGAGAGAAAGGAGGAAAGGAAGACAAAGAAAAAAAGAAAGGAAGGAAGAGAAAAGGAAGGGAAGGGGAGGTGAGGAAAGGGAAGGGGAAAAAGGAAGGGAGGGGAAAAGGAAAAGGGAAAAGGGAAGACTCGACCTCCATATTTATGGCTCAATTCTAACAAGTCAGCAAGACCTACGTCTGAGTATGTACATGAAACATTCCCACTCTAAAATGCATTTTTCCTGATCCTGTACTTCTGTTCTAATTTATAACATTACAACACTGAAATAATGAAATAACGTTATTCCCAGAGAGTACAAACTGACTGAGGAGCCACACAGCCCATGCAGTGCCCTCTGCATGGGGGCCCTGCCCTGGGTCTCAAGGAGCCGATACGAACTCAACAGCCAGAAGAGAACATGATCTCTGCCAGCCAAGAAAGGTCTCATGGGGCCACCCAAGAGGCTGAAGGTAGAGATCAAGTCAATCCAGGTGCTGGATGCCTGGCCTTCAGACCTGCTTGCTGTCTAGACAAACAAGGAGGGGGAGGATGGGAAGTGTTGCCAAGCCTGAGCATATTACCTACCTAGAACATAGTTCCCTTCCCCTTGTGGTGTAGGGAATTGTAGTGAATTCACTCAACAATGAGGAAACAGCTTGTAATGGTGCATTTTGCTTTACTAGAACACAGTGCCTGAGTCCAGCCACTCTATAAAGAAAACAGGTAGATGTAGCTCACAGACCTGAGGATCAGGGTGTACATCTAGGGTTGCCCTCCTGCAAGCAGAGTCCTGAGGTTATACAAAGCATTTCATGGAAAAGGATGGGCTGCACACATATACAAAGTATGATTAAAAAAAAACCCCAAAAACATGGTGTGTGCTTTGATTTTAAAATTTGTTACACGGAAAGATACACTACCATGAATCCCCTCAGAATCCTCCCCCTCGCTTTGAAGACACTCATCTGTCATTCTTGCGACTTCCTGCAGCAGCTCTGGAGTCCTCTTTCCTGAGGGTCTTTAGTTGCACCGTCCTGGCTGCCTTGAGGTTCTGAATGGATTCAAAACGCTTGTCTTTCACAGTCCTTTTGACTTTGAGGAGGACCCAGAAATCACACAGTGCCAGATCCGGTGAATAAGGCTGGCATTTTTTATTATCGCTCCTAAAGACACTCAGAAAGAGGACTTCCAGTGCTGCTTCAGGAAGTGGCAAGAACAACAGGCTAAGTGTGTTTGAAGTGAGGGCAAGAATTTTGAGGAGAACTCATGGCAAGGTGTCTTTTATCTTTTAAAAAGGTAATCACTCACCATCTGTTTCAATCGCCCTTGCACGTCTACACCCTCCGGTCTCGTCTCACTCTCCTCCTCCGTGGCCACCATGTTTATATGTAATCGTGGGGGCCCCACCCCGATGACTTTATTTAACCGTAACCTCCCAAGAGCCTGTCCTCCACCCACCCTAGCAGGGCTAAGTTTCCACCTTCTTCAGGCCTGACAGTGGGCACAAAGGTGTAACGGAAACTCTCAAACCATACCCAAGCCATGGCACAGCTCGGCTGCTACTTCCTCAGGAAAGTCTCCCCAAATCTCCTAATGGGGCTCACGTTTTAATTCCCTCCTTCGTTAGAACGTCATTCAGTGGCCATCTGCCCCTCACTGCAGACTAAGTTCCGAGACAGCCACAGGGCCCTCCCTTGCATCGGGTCTAACACGTGAACAGAATCCCAGCAAAAATCTTTGAATGAAAATGCATAATGAATATTAAATTATCTAAAACAAGGCTATTGCTTCTGAAAAATACAGGCTAAGAGGGTACTGTGAGAATATTAGTGCATCAAAACTGTAAAAGGGAAAAAATGTACCAAGAAACGTAATAAAAAAATTTTTTTAAAAAGCTCTCATAGAAGGAGAACTTTGAGGAATGTAACTTTCTCGAGGGAACCAAATTTTAGGTTTCTCAAAATTCCCTATAAATAAAATTCTTCTAAGTCAGAAAAAAAATGTAAAAGGGAACATAAATGTATTGAGATATGCATGTACTAGAGCTGAGAAAAAAAACTAAAAACTCTACTTTATAACTTCAAGATTCTTCAAACACCACAGGCACAGATGTGAACTTGCACCGGAAGTTCGCACTCACCCACTGTCGGTGAACAGAAACTCCAAGTGGGTCATGAAGACTGCCCAGCAGGAGACGCCGTACCGCTGTGCCAGGGAGAGTGCGATGCCAAGGATGTTCTCTTCCAGGGTTCTTCATGAGTGTCCAGCAGGCACAGGGAGGGAAGCAGAGAAACGCATGACGCAGTAGGCAGAGAGACGTCACACGGGAAGGGGACTTCAGGGCTCACTTTCCACAGTGGTGCAGGGCCACTGTTCACCAGCGTCTGGGCCACACTGGTGACTCCCGGTACTCTTCCCCCAGGGGGCATCTGACAAGGTCAGCAGTCACTATGCTGGTTATAAATGGGGGAAGGGGGGACAGCGCTACAGGGCCCAACACTGCAATGCTGGGTCAGCCCTCCTGCAGCAAAGAAGTGACCCATGAAAATGTCTGTAGTGCTCAGGTGACAAAAATCCTGGTTTACACTCCAGAACTTGGAGTCAAAAAACAGTGGCATCTCTCCCCTAAGATAGATATTGGAGAAAGCAGGTCACTCGGCAAACATTTATGTTTTCTACATTGCCAGGGACTGTGCTAGCTGTTTAGGACATAAAAGCAAGATGTTTTCTGAGGAACACTCATAACCTAACGGAGGACACGAGACAAGAATCTGTAATTCGGGTGAGGACAGGGATGGGGGAGAGCAGTCAATCTGCGCTGAAGGCTGAAAGCTACACAAGTACAAACGAGGGAAAGGTGGTCAGAAGAAGAAAAGATGGAAGGATTTCCAATAAATAAAGCAGAAAAGGGGTCACAGATAAGGACAGGGTCCTCAGACCTAAGGACCTGTAATTTTGCAAGCAGTCAGAGTCAGTGAAGGGTTAAGCCAGGGAACAGCATCACCAGGGATAGACAGAATTCTAAGAAAATAGCTCAGAATACCCACTGTAGGGCTGAGTGCAGGACACTTAAGAGCTCCCAGATGCAGAGAAATGAAAGGTGGAATTCTGGGTTCAAAGGTGGAACTCTTGGTTGGAAGGTGGAATTCATGGTTGGAAGGGTGCAGGCAAAAACCACAGCAGCAGAAATGAAAAATTCTGTTAGTATTACCACTGCTGAGACTACATTCACCCTAGCTAAGTAAAGCATTTATATTTTGAATTAGCCAGGGGTTCCCAAATATTTTCCTCAAAGGGCCACACAGTAAATATTTCAGGCTTTGCTATCATATAAGCTCTATGCTGTACCCTTTCTTGTATTGTTTTTTGTTTTCCCACATCTTTTTTTTTTTTTGGTACCACGGATCGAACTCAGGACCTTGCACTTGCAAGGTAGGCAGCAGAAACACTGAGCTAAATCCCTGGCCCTGTTTTCCCAAATCTTTAAAAATATGAAAGCAATTCTTTGTTTATGGCCCATAGAAAAAAAAGGCCCAGGGCTGGATAAGTTTGTTAACCTATGGATTGGGTAATGTCAAGTGAAACTGTGTCTTATTTGAGTAACTACGCCAACACAGTGGAATAAGAATCCCTTGAGATAGGGATCATTACTAATTTACCTTCCTCTTCTGGGAGCCTGGCACACTGCCTGCTACACATATATGTTGGGTAAGTACTAACATCTTTTCTTTTTCAGTATTAGGGATTGAACCCAGAGCTCCCTACATGCTGGCTACCCTTTGTTGTGATTGTTTTGCAGTACTAGAGTTTGAATCCAGGGCCTTCACACTAAGCTATGTCCCCAGTCCTGTCTTTTGTGTTGAGGTGTTGAGTTGTGTTGTGCTGTGTTGTTTGACAAGGTCTCACTAAGTCACGAAGGTTTCCAGGCTGGGCTCAAACTTGCGATGCCCCTGCGTCAGCCTCTGGAGTAGCTGGGGTTGCTCGCCTGCGCCTCATCCAGCTATGTTGATGTCGTTATCACTTGATAAAGTCAGGAAGGAGCCAAAATATGTCACTCTCTTCAAAGCTGCCCTGTGCAACCCCTGACAAGGTATTATTTAAGAGATGCAGACAATATAAGATGCAACATACTTACAAAGGAAAAAAAGCTGCCATTAAAAATGGTAACAGTGAATAAAAAATCAAGAATGGTCACATTATGCACAGTGTAGATGAAGCAGCAGAACAGAAGGAAGTGGGTTATGCAATTCATCTACACAAGCTACTGAGATCCAAATCACAACTGGCAAAACTGCAAACCCAGGAAACACTGGGGCGTTTTAAACAAGCCATCCAAAGGCTGCAGTGTATTTTTCTAAGCAACAGAATGTAGAGAAGATTCTATTATATATTTGTCAAAAGCATATATTTGTCCTCTAGGACATACTTCAAATAGCATGTGCTAGATGGATAATTTAAAAAGAAAATAAATCTAGCAAAATGTAACTAATGATCTAAGGCACAACATTCTTTACACACTTGTATTCCACAGTGACCTCTTCTAAGACACTGTGGTCACGGCATCAGGCCCACAAGCTGCTCAAAGGAAAAGCACATGGACGAGACTCAGGACTCGGCTCAGCACCTGGCCATGTGACAGGAGCACCTCCTCAGAGCTCTGCGGCTCACGTGCTGGAAACTCGGTGTTGCAGGTCGCTGTCAAACTGGACACTGAACAACTCCACACAACCAGGAACCTCCAGGGGGCCAGAGGCCGAGTGACCGAGATTGCAAATTCCTCCTCCTCACTGGGAGAAAGCGGTCGTGGGCTGTCTGTGCTGTCCATGCTTTGATCTCCCACACCCTGCTTAGTCCCAGCAGCTTCAGTGGGAAAGAAGCCAGAGCTAGCAGGAAATCACCAGGGGCCTCAACCACTTGGCCACTCCCTCAAGGGGGGTGATAATGATGAATGACATGCAGTCACGTCACAATCATCAGGCTCACTTTGTTAGTTTAAAATACCGTGGCAGAAGCGAGGCGTCACCACTCCATGGAGGGCAGACCCCCTCAGTTCCAAGGCTTGGGGCACAGAGTTTCCCTGACCGCAGTGAGAGGGCGGGGAAGGCACCCAGGGCCCGGGCTCTGACACAGGACAGATGCAGCTCAAAGATGCATAATCAGGCTTGTCACCGTCACCAGCTACAGAAATGTGGGCCACTTACTGCATATCCCTAAGCACCATTCTCCCGGCTATAAAATGGGGAGAAAACACTTCCCCTATAGGTCATCCATGAGAACAAGTGACATTTATAAATAAAATTTACAGAGAACCTCACCCAGGGGGTCTTGCCCCGGTAAGCACTTTCAAACTGGTCTGGGAAAATCAAAACACCCCTACTTACTCCCTCCACGTGGGTGAGCACACTCCCCTCTAACAGGTACGCTTCTCATCTGATCTGAACTAGCAAGATGAAGACAGACCCCAGTTCTAGAAGCAAAGAGAGCTCCTGACCCGAGAGCAACTCATCCAGCTGCACTGGCATCCCACAGGGGCCGGTGCGTCCCTTGAGAGGGACAGGGCCTACACGGAGAGGTGGCAGCTGCTCCTGCCCTCCAACAGAGGTGACTAGAGCTGGTCAGTCTCTCTTCCTCTAGAAGCCCAGGGCAGGTAAATGCACCTGGAAAGACCACACCGGTCGTCCTCCCGTAGTACGTCCACGGTATCTAATGTATACACAATGAAGACATTAAAATGCCAGGTATCTTTTTAAATTGCTTAGGCAGGACTCGAACTCCCAGTCCTCCTGCCTTGGCCTCCCTAGATGCTGAGGTCACAGGCACTCGCCACTGTGCCCAACTAATTGCTATGAACTTTGGAGAGTGAGATTCCCAGTCAAAAACAAAAGGCAATCTGGCTTATAAAACCCATCCGTAAGCATTCTACCTTTCACCTGACCACCTCCTATGTCCTCTAACCTGGCCATAATCTTGGCAATGGGATTCAAAGGATTGGGGAACTTTAAAAAATTACTTCCAGTGCTCACTATTTATGTCTGTAGGCTTCTATGCATCTACTGCTCTGTTTGGAAACACATGCACATCTCTCCTGTGGGCAAGCTGTGTGAACAGCTACGGTAAGTGTCAATGCTTGAAGGACTATGATTAGCACTCTGGTCTACTGCCATACCACCCTGAACGCGCCCGATCTCATCTGATTAGTACTCTGAGAGCTCAGCTTGTTCTGCATTTCAGACCCACGCTCTCCTGAGACAAAGGTACGCTTACTCCGCCAGCCCGAGGATGGTCTCCCTCTTGTACTGGTCATCGGCGGTGAACCGCTGTACATCCACGCCCTTCCCCAGGCCCTGCAGGAGCTGAGCCTGTGTGAAGTCCAGCAGCTTTTCGTTGTAGTAGTGCAAGTGCGCAGTGAGCGAAGCCAGGTCCTCAGGCCAGGCTTCCTGTCCTCGGCGAGTCACATAGCTGGTGACCATCCTGATCACCTCTTTGGGATGGGCCTGTGAAAGGAATGAAAGACATACTTGACATGCACTACACACAATGAGGCAGTGAGGGACAAAGAGCAGGCCGTGCCTGCCAGGCACCTGCTGGCCCTTCACAGAGGCCATTTAACTAAGGCCCGGACTCAGCTGCAAAGGTGGAAGTACAGACCAGAGTCAGGACACGGGTCAGAGCCACAAGCACACATCCAGACTGCCGCTCCACTTTGAAAACCTCTCTCACCTCAAAAGCAAACCTCTTGCTTTTTCAGCTCCCCTAAACCTACATCACACATTTGCCTTCACTACTTGGTCATTTATTACAACTCCCTCAGCAGAAATTTCATCACCTTTGCCTCTGGGTACCGTTTTGGGGAGCAACATGAAGTGCTCCCAATGCAAAAGCTGTAGTTCCAAGCCCTCACCATAAGAAGATAAGGAGAAGAGGCTTTCTCCAAGGAGAAGTCAGAAAAACAAAACAAAGCCCACCTCAGTTCCCGAAGCTGGGAACACTTTGGGTTATACACGAAAGCATCCAACCGACTCCTACTCTGCTTGATTTGGGGCTCAGTGGGATATTACCCCATGATTCTTAGCAGCTTCTCAAAAGCAGTAAAATTATTTGAGTAGAACAAAACCCAGAACCCCACAGCTGATGAGGAAGGACCCTAAATAATGAACTGGCCACATTTATGGACGTTAAAGTTGATCTGGGAGTCAACAAAGCAGATTCTGGAATTACTTAACAGGCAGCATGGTACAGACAGCATTAACTCGGCCACTCCTCGTTCCTGGGATGATATGAGACATATTCTTAAGGTGAGAAAACTAGGGGAACACCCCAGAATCCACCCTGGTTCTCAGAAACACACTCCTAATTATAGCAAGCTGTCAGCCTTTCCAGCGGGTAGAAGCCATAATTCTAAGTCACACAGGAGATTTGTCATTGTTGAGTCTGCGCTGCCAACCTAGCCTGCTTGTCTCTCTCTTGATCCTATTAGGGAACAATCTGGGAGCGTGGATAAAAACCAATTAAAGAAATCCTGGATTCCAGCAGGTGGACCTAAGCAAAAGTCAATCTTACTGTATTTAATTTTTTTCTACCTCTATGCATATACTGAGTCCTATTTCTAAAAATCACAAAAAAGTGTACTGAGTCAAAATACCTGTGTCTGAATACCACAGTAACCTAGAGAACCAGCTTTCATGCATTTAGAAAAAAATTTTTGTGCATGTTATGTACCAAGGGAGGTATTATGAGGATATGCCTTGCCCCTTTCCTCCAGAAAGGAAGTCTACTCAGAGAGACACTAAGCAAACAACTGTGAAAGGCCTGACACAGTGAGCACCCTCAGGGCAAGTACACAAATGCCTGAAGCGCCCAACAGGAAAGATGACTGAAGCCCTCTCTCTGAGCCTCTTCTCTGCTTCCTAAATTGTAACAGCGTTTCAGGGTCATGACCAAGGGGAGCATCTCCTGCTCAACTCTGATGTAAGTGCACCTCCTTCTGAAACTCTGTCTTATAACAGGAAACAGGGAGGCTGGGAGTGGCAGCCCACGCCTTGGATCCCAGCACTTGGGAGGCTGAAGCAGGAGGATCGCTTTGAGTCTGAGGCCAGCCTGAGCTACATAGTGAGACTCCAGGGAACAAACTGGAAACAAAGAGCCAGGTCTTTTGCAAATAGGAAGGGGTGAAAAGATGGAGGGGGAAGGAAGTGAAAAGAACCAAGATGCACTGTGTACCAGCTCCCCATGATGGATGCAATCATGTGCTGCTAACGTGTACTGATAAAAATTTTTTAAATGAAACTCTATCATAACAGAATGGTGAACAGGGGCATTCTGCTAATACCTAGATGACAGACTGCGAAGTGTCAAAACCATGATGAAATAGTTTGAAAGTGTATACGAAGATTTTCAGTATTTCAACTTCTTATGTAAACGTAACGCTAATGGGAAGAGACAACCTCTCACTAAAGTTGCGAAGTAAAATTAGTTATGGGGGAAAACAAAGGAATTGGCACCGAAGCCTGGATTACTGGTATTTCCCTCCTGAGCGTCAAGTTCTCCATTTCTAAAAGTGGGGCAAATTCTACAAAGTCTTTGTAAAAATGAAACAAAACTGGATAAGCATGTTGCAAATTCTAGCTGTCTAAGCAATTTGTTTTCTTACTGCCACTCCTCTTGCTCTCTTCCTCAGAAAATGTGACTGGTGCCAGTCAGGATGGTGCACACCTGTCATCCCAGCACTCGGGAGGCTGAGGCAGCAGGATCACCATGAGTTCAAGTCCAGCCTGGGCTACACAGGGAGACCCCGCCTCAAAAACACAAACAAAAATAATGTGACTGGGTTATGACTACTTCTAATATTCAATGAACCAACTTCTCCCTAAGCTGATCACTTTTCTCAAAGTACTACCCCTCCTGTTCACTCCAGCAGCTCATTTCCTACATCTCTGCTGCACCCCAAAAGTGCACAGCACTCTCAGGTTTCTAAGCGTTTGCACACGGCTCTCTCCTGACCTCACAGCAGCCCGGCAGCGTGGGGGACAGCACAGCTGGTCCCCTTTTCCACCCCACCCCACCCCCCGAGCCCGTCCCAAGGCTCTAGGCACACACAGTGCCACGGCCTCTGCCACTGGCCCCACCCACTCAGCAGGGCACCTGACGTGGTCTGGGTTCCCGGGTGTCCAGAGGACATTCAAGCTGCTCTCCTCCACAAGTGCAGTGGCATGATCATAAGCAAGAAAGCTTTCAGCCCCTAAGAAAACTGTGAAGGACTTTATGAGCAAACTTCAAAATTGTCCACATTCAGTATCGGAGCAATACTGTAAAATACTGTAGGCTATAAAAAATATTGGCATAAAAAAGCACCAAGAACTTGAAAAGGAAAAGTGGGAAGAATTGAATTATTCTATTTTCCTCCCCAAACATGGAAATTCAATTCTTTGGGGGAGTGAATGAAATACAATTTCTCTAACAAAGATGGTCAAATCGCTGTAAAAACAAAACATGCATAAATATTCATGACAAGGGAAAGCTCACTGACTCGATCTACTGCTCACTAGTAGGGGTAATAAATTTATCTGGTTTAATAGTCTCCATTTCTGGGTAATATTGTCTGGGAAGTTTTAAACAGGTGTTTTGTTTCCCCTCTAGGGTTGTTATTTTGCTTAAGATAATTTTCTACTTAGTATTTTCAATTAGTAGCTTATAAAAACACATTTTGGAAACAGTCTACCATAAAGTTTTGAATTTCACCCCTGCTGTTTGTTTGACTCCCTAGACTATAAAACTAAAGGACAAGTTCCCATTTTTAACTCATTTCATCTTCTGAACCCTTTTTAAAAAGAATGCTACAGAGATCACACTTCAGGACATATTTTACCATAGTTAGAAGGGAAGATTTAAGTGGGAAAAGTCCAGGTGACTTCCATCCCTCTGATAGTTACATAAATATGCAGATCCACACACTATTTCTGGATGGATCCAGAGACAACACTGAGTTGTTACTGTACACCCTTTGCACCACCTGAGTTTTCTGGTCATGTGTGTATTATGTCTTAAACACAGAAATGAGTGAATCAGTGCGGACATTAGCAGAGCGCACCATCTCCTAGCATCTCCTACATCTGTCAATCACCATTGTGGGAAGCAACGCAGTGGGGCAGGTGCAGGATGCTCCTGTGAGCACTGGACCTGCTGAGCTCAGGGCCTCTGCTGCTCTGTCACACACATGTCACACATGTGGTCACACAGGCAGTCACACACGCAGCCACATGTGTGGTCACATGTGCGGTCACGTGTGGTATGCACACAGTCACACGCACGGTTACGCACGGTCACACGCGATCACACACACAGCTCCTCCAGAGTGAGGTCCTGTAGAATACAACTGCAGAGTGGACATGGGTAAGAGAAGGCTGTGGAATCGGGGACCAGGGAAAGGACAGGCGAGGGAAAGCTCCGCTTCACTGGGGGTGGTTACGTGGAGGCAACAAACTGAAGACACTTTGATAACGACCTCCAAGCTGAGCCATTGGGAGTTTGTCTCGTTTAATCCCACCTCAGCGGTGCCTTCCGCACAGAGGAAGATGCTGCAAACTCTGATGAGGAGCTGTCAGGCAGCCTGGGGCACAGCCGTGTGCTCAGCGTGCCTGTGAGTGTGCAGCCCGGATGTCAGGACTCCACGTGGCCCTGAAGCTCCAGGCTCCCAGCACAACAGCAGACATAGGGCTGGATGCATCACCTGCCAGTTAACAGCCCCTGGCTGTGGATGGGGATGGGTCCTGGGGAGGGTAACGGGTCCCTGATCTCCGGTGGGGTCAGGTGAGACCGAGACCACTGGCTGGGGTGGGCAGAGAGCAGAGAGAGGCAAGGAGGAGGAGGCCCTGGGGGCGCAGCTTCCCCAGCTCAGACTGGGAGGAGAAGCAGCTGCTGGGATTACATGCACACACAGAGGCGCACAAAAGGGTCTGAAATTCAGGGCACCCTGACTTCTAACTGGGAGACTATCAACTTCCAGAGGCTGAGTCAGGAAGCACGTGGACAGAAAGAGGAGCCCACTGGCTCACTGAGGTCTGATCTGTCACATGCAGGGCTTCGGATTCTGCCTGCAGACGCAGTGGCAGGGGACATTTCCTGCTGGGATTCACCGGCTGGCCTCACAGGTGCCACAGGCCGGCAGGGGCCATGTGAGCAGGTGCCAAGAGGGAAAGTGCCGGGTGGGGGCGCTGTGACTGGATGGCACTCTGCACAGAGTCCGGTTACAGAGTCCGGTGCACCCTGTCCTTTTCTACCCTTGAATGTGACAGCGTGGAATGTTTACACCAACTTGAATACCTTGTGAAAAAGCACCACAGTGCAAATGACACAACAGTGGCACTTCCGTGCCTTTGGTGCTACTTCTGTCTACAGGGCTCTTCAACCAGGTGTCTGCATGGAAACGCTCCTGTGCTGTGGCTTTACTCCACAGCACCTCTCCTGACCGTGTTTAAACGGCACTTCAGTACTTCCC